AGAAAGAGAGACGGCACCCAGCAGACATGGGGAGGTTTTGTTATCAGTTATTTGTGAAGTTAAAAACGAGCGATAAAAAGTACTTTGCAACAGATAGTGTTGGAAATACTAGTATCCACATGCAAAACAGCAACAACAATAAAAACACAGCTATGCACCCATCACCACCGTCAATTTTAAAAAGTTTCATTTGCTTGAAATAACCCCCCCCCCAAAAAAAAAACAACAACAAGCAAAAGAAAACCACATCCCCTGTTAGTTTGTTTCATCCTCTCCCAGCCCTAGGCAGCCACTAACTGCTTCCTGTCCATTCTGGACTTTTCATATAAATGGAATCACACAACACATGGTCCCTTGTGATTGATTTCTTTCACTTAGCACGATATTTTCTTTAGTTATTATAATAATTATTTTGTTTGTTAATCCTCATAAAAGAATATTTTTCCATTTATTTTTAGAGTGAGTGGAAGGGAGAGAGGAAGAGAGAGAGAGAGAGGGAGAGAGAGAAAGAGAGAGAGAGAGAGAAACATCGATGTCAGAGAGACACATTCATAGATTCCTTGTCTACAAGCCCCGACCAGAGATGGGGATTGAACCTGCTACCCAGGTCCATGTCCTGGAACAAGAATTGAATCTCTGAACTCTAGTGTGCAGGCTAATGCTCTAACCATTGAGAAACTGGCCAGGAGCATGACATTTTCAAGGGTCATGTGTCAGCACTCTATTCCTTTTTATTTACAAATAATATTCCATGGTTTGGATGGGGCACATTTGAATTGTCCATTCCTTTGTTGATGCCATTTGGGTTGCTTGGACATTTTGGCTACCATGAATTACACTGATGATGGCTCGTGCACAGTCTCTGCATGTGAGAGGGGCCTCGGTGATGAACATTCAGTCTTGGCCAAACCCCTGGAGGGGCCTCAGCGATGAACATTCAGTCTTGGCCAAACCCCTGGGAATCTAGGGGGATGGGGTCCTCACCTGCATGTCAGGAGGGTCTCTGAGACTGGACTCAGGGCCTGGATGCCTCCGTTGTCCATCAGGGAGTGGGGGCAGCTGCCCACCTGTGCCTGAGCCATTCTGGTGCTGACTTCTCCCCTTAGAGTGAAAGCCCGCAGGAGGCAAGCAGCCGGGAGACCAAAGGTCAGGAATGATGAAGAGCCTGTCATGGGCACAGTCACCCGGGTGAGTGACGGGGTGTCTTCTCATGCCGTGTAGGGGGGCTGGGCATGTCTATTAAGGAGTCCACACTGAGCTCCTCTGTGGTAGGCTAGACAGACAGCCAGAAGTTGACTTCCCATTCATTTCCCGGAACCCATGGTCAGCCTCCTGCCCCAGCCACACTGACCACTGAGCCCACCTCACCTCTCTGATAGGGCCAGGCTGCCAGAACCATCTCCCCAAAATGACTACTTTCTACCGTTGTGGGCATGTTGCTTCACCTCTCCTCACCTCAGTTTCCTCATCTGTATATGGGGATAATGAGTGCCATTCATGCTGGGTTTCTGTGAGGATGAAACGTGATTAGTAGGCTCTCAGTGTAATACTACAGAATGTTAAATGCATGCAGGAATTGTTGAGTTCAAAAGACATGTGTGTGGAATGAGGAAGAATGAAAACTTCCATCATCCCAACTTCCCCTTGGGACCATGTCTGCCTTATTCCTCTCTGACTCCCTTCTCGCCCCTCCACTCAGGGTTCCCAGGAAAAGCTAGGGCCAGACAGGCCTCCAGACCAAGCGCCCCCCGCCAAGGATGCCCCTCCCTCTGGGGAGCAACAAGAGCTCTACTACGCCAACCTCAGCTTTTATGAGATGAAGACACGGGAGTCTCAGAACCTCGAGGCCACCGGCAGCCCTGAGTACTCAGAGATCAAGCGTGCAGGCAAATGAGGACTCGCTCAGAGCAGTTTAATTGACTTTTCAGGAGCAACCATGGAAAGCAGAAGAAAGCAGATACGATCTTTAAATGTCACTTTATAATTTATACTCAGCAGAGAGAATTCAAAAATGAGGAAGTAATACAGATGTTTTGGAACAAATAAATGGGGAAATTATTGCCTGAAGAATAAAAATACAGATTTAAATTCCTGACAGTAGTAATGGCTAAACCCAAAGTACCTGTGGTGGGGTAAATGGATTTTACATTTCCTAATATGTACATACTAGAGGCCCATTGCATGAAGTGATTGATGCAATAGGCCTCCCTTCCCCTGGCTTCTGGCACTGGTTTTCCTCTGGCACCTGGGACCCAGGCCTTCGCTCTGGCCACAGCTGAGAAGCCAAGCCTCTTCATTCTTCAGTCATCTTCAGTTTTTGCTCTGTCAGAGCCCTCAGTCTTCGCTCCGTGCCTGCATATGCAAATTAACCGCTATCTTTGTTGGGTTAATTTGCATACTCATCCTGATTGGCTGGTGGGCATAGCGGAGTGACACCAATTTGCATGTTTCTCTTTTATTAGTGTAGATTACCTAGGAGGAGAGAGAAGTGTTCATTTACTAAAACTTGGTAAGTTAATTATGATGCTTAAATTTTTATGGTAGTCACTGTACATAATAAAATAAGAATGTATAAGTTACAAACTAGAAGTGGTTTTACATATATATATAATTTATTTCAGAGAGGAAGGGAGAGTTTTAAATGTATATAATTTAGTTCAGAGCGGAAGGGAGAAATATCAATGATGAGAGAGAATCATCATGGCACAACCTGTCTTGCCCTGAAATAGTGAGGGGAGGTGTGGCTTGGGTTGAGTAAATGATAAAGAGGCATTAGTCCTGGCAGAAATGGGGCCGTGCAGGTCCCCAAAGCTCCTCCTTATCCTCACAACAGCCCTGAGATCACCTCAGAGTAATGGTGTTCTGTCCCATTATAAAGCTGAAGAAACTGAGGCTCCCAGAATGTCCTGGTTCATTCTGAAGGCAGTGTCAAATCTGCTTTGTTTCCTTTTTAAAGTTGATTTTTAGGGAGGGAGGGAGGGAGGGTTCACTCTGAAGGCAGTGTCAAATCTGCTTTGCTCCTTTTTTAAAGTTGAATTTGAGAGAGAGAGAGAGAGAGAGGAGAGAGAGAGAGAAACATCAATATGAGAGAGAAACATCGATTGGCTGCCTCCTGCATCCACCCTGCCTGGGAGGTCCACAATGTAGGTAAGGGCCTTGACAGGGAATAGAACCCACAACCTTTTTGTCTATGGGATGACGCTCCAATGAACTGAGCCACCCACCAGGGTTGCTCTGTTCACTTTTGAATCTCTAGCACCTAGCACAGTGCATAGCCAAGGCAAATGTTCAACTTTATTTATGAACGTATCAAGTAGTTCACTGTCCCCACAATATTTATGGTGTAAGGTGAATTCCTATATTTCTAGTGCCAGTAAGAAAATATGCAAACAGCTAACAGTCTTTCCAGCTGGTGGGCAGTAAACACACTTGGTCGATATTTCTTCTTGTCAATAGCAGTGTCTGCACATTCTTCCTCCTCAGGCCCAGCTTCCTCCCCAGGCCCCTGCTGTCCCAACTTCCTCCTAAAACTACCCTCTGTGAAGGCCAAACTGACATCTTAATTCTTAATGGTGGCTGTGGTAGATTGGTAGGTCCCCTAAGACATGTAGCAATTCATTGGGGGAACTTCCTCTTTTGGGGACATTTCAGTGGCAAATGCTAAGTGGAATCTCAGCATTTTGCTGGTATAAGCTCAAAAGAGTAAGGCAACCAGAGGGGTGAGAGGAAAGGCACAGAGATGAGCCCAGCCCACTCCCACTCCTTCTCTTCACTTTTCCTTCCCAAGAGGAACCCAACCTTTCCAAAGCCCCTTGGACTTAGGTGCCCTGCTGGCCTAAGGCCCGGGACCTTGGCCTTGTGAATTGGGGTCCTTGGCAGAGCTGAGCCCAGGTGTGCTCCAGGACCACGGACAGAGCCAACCCTCTGGCCAGCAGCTCCCCAGCTGGATGGATGGTTCCCTGGAGGCCGAACCTTGACCTGTCTCATGTGGAGGTAAGGTCAGGAGTGAGGCTGGTGACATTCTGTCCTATAGGACAGAGCTGCAGCCAAACTCCTCCTCAGTCTCCCCCTGGAACCGCCCTCATCCTAGGGAAGAGGAGAGGGTTTTAGAGACACAATGCATTTCTGAGAAGTCACTGGGTCCCTTGCCCCTCAGGGCTGAGTCTACTCTCACTCCTTCCAGAAAACCTGTCAGACTCCTGTCCTTCCCTTACTTCCTCCCCATCATTTTGCTTTTGCTTTAAACCCATTTCTTGTACTGTCAGGGAGCACTAGACAACAGAAAACATGATCTGAGATCTTTTTCTTTGTCCGGCAGTATGCCAAGTCCACTTCTTCAGCTCAGATGAGTGGGGTAAGCAGAGGGAGATTCAATAGCGACAATAAAAAAGGAGAAGCCTAAATGTACTACTCGTAATATTTTAAGCAATAAAAAAAAGGTTTTAAAAAAGGGAGAGGCCTTTTGTGGCTGAAAGGACTGTTTAGAAGTTAGAAGGTGGGAGTGCAGGGCTCATGGGAACCATGAGAATGGACTGACAACCACACCCAAGTTCCGTAGCTTTCTAAAGTTAAATTGGCACCAGAAACCCACAAACCAGCACACTCGAATCTGCAGCTGGAGCATCTTCAGCTGGATCAGGGCCGCTGTTCTGTTCTAGCCTCTGCCCATCAGGGGTCCGTTGGGATGAGTATGAGTTCAGCCATCGCTTCATGAGGCTTCTTGTGTGACAGAAGCTGGTCTCTGGGCCTGAACAGAGAGAGGATTCGGTGTCAGGTAGGTCCTGGCTGCCAGATCCTCCTGCTCCCAGAGAGATGTCTCAAGAATTCTGGGAAAGCAGAGAGACACCACATTCCATCCATTCTCTGAGGGTGCGTGAGGATGAACAGTTGGGACAGGTGACAGGAGGGGGGAGTGGGATGGAAAGGGGCCATCATGACAGGTTATCACCAGACCTGGGGTGAGAAGCTCAGCCTTTACTTCCTGGTTGTCACTGGGGAGAAGGGGGCTCCTGAGAGGGGGAGGTGTTGGGGGGAAGCCCAACCCAGAAAGAGCCCTAGATGTCTGCTGCTCTGCCACTGCCCCTGGTCGTCAGAGAGAAAGGACTGATCCGTGATGTCAGGGCTCCTGGACTGGGTCCCTCCAAGCCCAAGCTGTTGCTGTTGCCCCTGCTGTGTGTGTGTCTGTGTGTGTGTGTGTGTGTGTCTGTGTGTGTGTGTGAGTGTGTGTAGGGTAACACAGCTGTGGGACTTGGTCCTTGGTCTTCATTGGGGTACAACTTAGAGAAGGACGTAGGGTTGAAGCTGCAGGTATTGAGGATTGGGGACACAGTGTAGGACATAGTGCCTGTGTATCCGCATGCTCTGACCTTCTCTCATCCTAAAATTTACGGGTTTACTGTAGAATCATCTACATCTTCTCATTTATGGAAGAGGCCAACATATTCCACGGTCCTCCTATGCCCTGAAGAACCAGGCCAAACCTTCAGGAGATGACCGAGAATCCTTGGGCTGGAAATAGATGAACCCCGATAGGGATGGCAGCCGGGTTTTGAATTCCCTCAATCCTTGATCGGATCGCAGTGACCCACCTGCTACAGGCCACAGTAACGATGCCTGGAGGAGGAGAGTCCTACCCAGGGTCTACATTGTAGTCTGTATAATTTGTCATTGCGCATCAGACGCGGTGCAATCCGGGAGACAGCCACCCAGAGAACGATGAGAAGACGGGATTTATTAGAAAACCCAGACCTTAGACCATGTGCCAGGAGCCAGGAAGTGCTGTTCTGGAGGGTGTGGGAGGGCGAGAGATGGCATCACGGAGCAGCTCACCTGCAGCACAGGGGCAGGGGG